GTCCTTTTATCCGCCAAGCGCGTTTGCAGAACCTCGGCCTCTGCGGTGGTTTTAAGCCGTTTGGATTTGTAAATATGAGTCAGCCGGTTGCCCAGTGAGGTAATGGATTTTCCTCTTTCCGCTTCTGTCCTTGGGAGTTGCTGAGGCCAGCTCATTGTGTCCCCGCCTGCCGCTGGAAGAGCGACGGGGGATTTTCAGCAGGCTGGCTGGCTTTTTTTTTCAGGGGGGGGACGGGGACGGGGGGGACGGGACCCCCGTGCTGGGCGCTTCTCCGGCTCCCCAGATGTATCGCTTTCCCGAGAAGCCACCCAAACTTAATTAACCCGGCGTTTTGAATTGTGTGCAGCTTTGGCTTGGCGGTCTGGGAACGTTCATAACCTTTGGTGTTTTTATCCAAAAAGCTGTTTTCCTGCTGGGGTTGCTTATCATGATGGATCACCCTTTTTTTTTTTAAATGTGTGAGAGGCTTGCTTTCTCAGGAAGAGCCTGTTGGTGGATTGTGATTTATTATTTGGCATCTCACATAACGACGGAGCCCCTATTCCCTAGGTTCACAGCAGCCGTCAACTTCAAAAGCCCAGCCTTCTTTCCCTGCCAGACGTATATAGGTTTCTGAACTTAATTTATTACTTTAAAACAGGAGTCCCCAAACTTGGTAACTTTAAGACTGGTGGACTTCAACTCCCAGAATTCTGGGAGTTGAAGTCCACCAGTCTTAAAGTTGCCAAGTTTGGAGACCTTTGCTATATAAGTACAAGTAGTCCTTGAGTTACAACAGTTCATTTAGGGACTATTCAGAGTTACATTTGAACATATATATTTTTTTTCTTCAATTAAGACAATTAGTTTTGCCATCTCTGCCAAATTTTCCCACCCCTTCTTCCATTGTGGGAATTGATGGGCCTTTCTATTTTTTGACACCCACAGAATTCTCCCTGCAGTTGACGTAATAGAATAACAACATTCATTTTTTTTTCTTTTTTTCTTTTTCTTTTTCTGGTTCCAAGTTCTTTCTCCAATAACCTTCTGGTTTCACCTTTCCAGTGGTTCTCATTGGGGACTCCGGAGTTGGCAAAAGCAACCTCCTCTCTCGCTTCACGCGTAACGAGTTCAACCTGGAAAGTAAAAGCACCATCGGTGTAGAGTTTGCCACCCGGAGCATCCAGGTGGACGGCAAGACCATCAAAGCTCAGATCTGGGACACGGCTGGGCAGGAACGATACCGAGCCATCACATCTGCGTAAGTGTCCCTTCTCTTCCTCCCCAGACGATCCAAAGGAGCCTTACGTATTTACTATGCCGTACAGTTTTCTCTGGATTAATTAAAATAAACATGGTACAATAATAATTTTAATTTCTAAATTTATTTTTAACATGACCGAGGAGGAAAATTATGTGGGGTGGTGTGATGGCCTAGAGGTGTGGAGCTCTGGCCTCATAAGCAGGAGGTAGAGGCAGGTATTTCTCCGGGCACAACGAGAATATATCTGCTGAACAAAACTCCGCATTGGCAATAGGAAGGGCATCCGGCCAGTAAACACACTGCTAGCTCCATTGTGTTGCTCACTCCACCCCGCAAGAGATAATGGAATCATTAAAAAAAAAGAAGAGGAAGAAAATTACGTCGTGGGAACAGTCATATTAGCTATATTAAGGTGGTTTAAATCAGGGGTCCACGCCCCGTTTGAAACCAGGCCGTGGGAAGTGGTGGGTGAGTGCGCGCATGCAGAAAGTTTCATTTGTGAAAGCAGTGCGCACCTCCGAAACCGTCCCCTCTTCCTCTACTGCCACTGCTTCCGTCAGTCCACCAAGCCAGAAAGATTGGGGGATGCTGGTTTAAATGCAAGGTAAACTTAAACGTAACACGAAATCACATTTAGTGCTTCCTCCTAGTCCTCTTTGCAAAACATTCGGACCCTTAATTTAAAACTAAATCACACCATGTGGGTTTCCCTTTCCACGGGTATGAAACTCTCTGCTCCTAGGCCCGTGTTAAGTGCTTTTTAGAAAAGCTTTTAGACTCTTTTATTTGCACAGAAATCAGGAATGATGTGATACAATTACTGTCATTGAAGTCCTGAATCCTTGTTGTTAGGTTTGTTAACAAAAAGCACATTAGTGACAGAATTAGCTGGAGGCTCTCAGATACTGTATTCTGTAGTTAGCGGGTTTTCATTTGCTGAGGATCAATGGCATCTTACCTATTAAGTTTCTTCATTACACACTAAGGTGCAGCAAGGTTTGATTGGTATAAGTTCAGTGTGTTGTACTTTAACAGATCATGGTTAAAATGGATGGTGGCTTCAGCTTCTCATCGATTTTCTTTCACATGTGGAAGATTGTCCACCCTTTGTGAGCGGGACCCAAGATTACTTCAGAAGGAGAGATTTATTTATTAGTTCAATATATGTCCCACTTTTATTCTGTACAACTAGGCGTTAAATGTACAAGGTTGCTACCTCATATTGTCTCCATGCAACAATTGCCCTTGAGGTGGATTGGAATGAGAGAGAGAGAGGGAGGGAGAAGGGGAGGGAGAGAGAGAGAGGGAGAAGGGGAGGAGGGAGAGGGAGGGAGAGTCAGTCTGGTCTAAAGTTACATGTCCATCTTCCCAGTCCATGGGTGTACTAGAACTCACAGCCTCCTGGTTTATAGTTCCTCACCATGGTTTGTAGTTCCTCACCATGGTCACTGCACCTGGCTGACTCTCTTAAGTGAAGGAGCGGGTACATCTGTAACACTTTAGGTATAAGTTTTATTCTTGAAATTCTTCAACCTCAATTCTTCTGAAATCCTGGCAGTTGGCAGCCTACAATACCGCATTCTTAATCACTACGCCATTACAGCACTTTCCTCCCTCCCTCCCTCCCTCCCTGCACTTAGATTTCTATCCCTCTTCACAGTGCTTTCCAGTGCTTTTCCCTCTAAGCGGTTTGCAGAGTCAGCCTCTTGCCCCCCACAATCTGGGTCCTCCTTTTACCCACCTCGGAAGGATGGAAGGCTGAGTCAACCTTGCGCTGGTCAGGATTGAACTGCCAAACTGCTGGCAGTCGGCAGTCAGCAGAAGTAGCCTGCAGTACTGCACTCCAACCACTGCGCCACCGTAGCTTTTATACAGCGTTTGTTGTTTCGTGTCTTGCAAGCCCCTCAGATTTTGTCAGTGAGCAGGGGGGACCTAGAAATGTCAAGCGACGGATGATCGGTGATGTGCTTTGTTCCTCCAGCTATTACCGTGGTGCCGTGGGGGCCTTACTGGTTTACGACATTGCCAAGCACCTCACCTACGAAAACGTGGAACGGTGGTTGAAGGAGCTGCGGGATCACGCCGACAGCAACATCGTCATTATGCTTGTGGGGAACAAAAGTGACCTCCGTCACCTGCGAGCCGTCCCAACAGACGAGGCTCGAGCCTTCGCAGGTCAGTGGGTTTGGCTGTGGTGGCATTCACATTTTTTTTTACTACCGGTTCTGTGGGCTTGGCTTGGTAGGCGTGGCTTGGTAGGCGTGGCAGGGGAAGGATACTGCAGAATCCCCATCCCACTAACCTGCTTTCCAGCTCCGTTCTCCTGGGCAGGGCAACCAAAGGAGACCCCACTGATCAGCTGGGACTCAATGGGAGGCAGCGAATAGATGGGGTTGGCGGGGCCAGTCAGAGGTGGCATTTCCCGGTTCTTTAAAACTACTCAAAATTTCCACTACCGGTTCCCCAGAACTGGTCAGAACCTGCTGAATTCCACCTCTGACCCCCCACCGATGGTCACTGTGTCCCTGGGACATCCTCACCTGTAGAGCGATGTTTATGGCAGGTTGCTTTAATTGGTCCTGATGCTACTTGTCTGGCTACAAAGCTGGACCCAAAATAGTCGAGACACCAACCCTGTCAGCACTGGGCAGTGATGGGACATTTTGCAGTAATTTTATTAAGCATAACAATGAAGATACAAACGAAAAAGAATTAGAGAAATTAAAGAAGTTGATATAAAGAAATAGAAAAGAAGAAGAAGAAAACGATATAGGGAAGAAGAGAAATATACAAAAAATGACTTCTCCATAAATAATTTCAGTGGCTTGTCACTTTCTTTTTAAGAGCCAAGAAATGATCATCTTCTCATATCTCATCTCTTATCTATAAACAAATCCTTAAAGTCTGGTCAGCAGAAGTCCATTAAGAGGTAACTGGAGGCTTTCAAGAAGAGACTGGACTGCCATATGTCAGAAATGGGGTAGGGTCTCCTGGTTGGGGGGTGGTTGGACTAACCCTAACCCTGCAAGGTCCCTCCCAGCTCTGTTATTCTGTTAAAGTAACCAAATATCTGTTTTAACCTTGATCAGATAAACCAACTTTATATGTCTTCCTCTTCCTTTTGGCAATCTTGCTCTTTAATCCCTTAATACCCCAGAACTTGAATTCCTTTCATTTTTTCCTTTGTCCTCATAAATTCTTCAGTTTTAACAGCCTGCTTTATAAATCCAGTAGGAGAACTATCCAGATTTTCTATTTGTGTATCTCTTTTAATTATTAAGACGTTAGCTGGTCTAGTGTAACATCTTTTAAAGACAGTCTATGTATAATGGCAGGCCCTCTTAAAATTAATTTGTGGGTCCATGATTTGCAAATACTATCTAATGTTGAATTATTTTGTTCCATTCTGTATTAGTAAGTTGAATTAAATGTTCTTCTCCTTTAATTGTAATCTTTAGTTTTAGTTTAGTTTAGTTTTTAGTTCTTTTAGTTCTTTCCCATCATTTTATGTTTTGCTTTAAAGAATTCAAAACAACAGCATTTTCCCACGGGAAGGAGTCTGATAATTAATTTGTTAAATTATATTTTTTTAAAGAGCCCCAAACTCTGTACTACTTGTAAGGGATTTCCAGTCAACAGTGAATGTTGATATAAAATAGATCAATTTTTTGTTGTCATTTTCACCAAAGCATTCCTCCATTGTGGATAAGGCTGAATTTTTCCATCTTTAATCTTGCCGCAGTTATCGTTCCATGACTTTTTTTTCCCAACTGTTTATCCATTCCCTGAGAAATGCCCCCTGATTTAAATTACATATTAATCTTCAAACTCCTCTGCATTACTGTACATGTTTGAGCTTTCTGTTTTTTTTAAATGCATCCACCAAACGTGGTAAAACCTCCTTTCTTGCTGTTCAGTTTGCCAGGCTACGTTAGACCGGGGGTCTCCAACCTTGGCAACTGAAGACTTGTGGACTTCAACTTCTAGAGCTCCTCAGCCAGCAAGTTCTGGGAGTTGAGATCCACAAGTCTTAAAGTTGCCAAGGTTGGAGACCCCTGGTCTAGATCACGGATGTCAAACTGGATCCCGTCCCTGGCCACATCAGGAGTTTGCCCTTGAGGAGCTGGGGTGGACGTGGCGGTTGATAGGGTGGGTGTAGACAGGCCCGGGATGGCAGCGGCCAGTCCCTCGCAGTCTCCAGGGGCCAACTCCACAGCCGCTTATGGGCCGTATCTGGCCCGCAAGATGCAGGTTTGACACACCTGCTCTAGACAATTTCTCTGGTGACGTGTACCAACAACACATTGTTTTATAGAACTTCTCTTTAAGACTATAGTATAAATAAATTCAATCCCATATTTCCCCATTATTTCATATATACATTTTTTCATGGCCTCACTGTCCTTTAATAGAGTATCTCCTTCTTGTAATTTCAATATCGTTTTTTTTCCTTTTGTAATTTAAATGCCAGCCACTTTCCTGGTTTTATTTGCAAACTCAAAATCCTTTTGTTTCACACACTTCGTTTTTACTTCAATTTTTCTTAGAGTTATCATAGATAACTGTGATTTTGATAGTTTAATCTGTTGAGAAATGCTTTTCTTCTCTGTGAATTTCTCCCCCCCACTTATCTCCTCCAAAATAGCTTCTGTTTTCTCTTGTCTCTTCTTTTGGAGCACACTGTTATATTGTATAAAATAATCTCTAATAAAAACTTCACACATATTCCCAACCATTCTTAAATCAGTGCCTTTATCTAAATTTTTATTCAAAGAAATTCTTTTAATTTCCTTTTACAGGCCTCCACTATTATTACTTCTTTCATTTAGTCACCATGTGAAAGGACTAGTTTTCCTTTTATATAAACCAGCCTCACAGGATTATGGTCTGAAAAAGTCCTTTGTAATATCTCTGCTGTAGAAACCTCAGAAGCCAAGTTCTCTGAAGTCCAATCATATCTATTCTTAAAAAAGAAGTAGGTCTTTCTTAAGAAAGTGTGTACTCGCAAGCAATTCAAGCCATTTTTCTGTCTCCATATATCCCATAGCCCTAAATTGTCCATTACATTTAAAAAATGGGTAATTTATCTTGAGCGTTTTTTTAACTTTTTTCCTCAAAAGCTCTGCCTGGTTGTGGGTTGTAATCGCTCCATAAATCATTTACGGAACAGTATTTTATCCTCATTTGGGGCATAAATTCCCAGTCTTAGCACCATGCAAATTATTGTCCAGCTCCCGTCAGTCAGTACAAGTTCTGGTTTTAGTTGGTGATGAATATAATAATTAATTTCAATGAATATTAATATTAATATACAGTTTAATTTTTTCCTTCGCTCCTGCTGAAATAAATCCTTTCCCCGTATTTGTATAAATTATTTATGTCCATTTTAAGAAGAAAAGAAATGTAGGCAAATTATATCTCGTTTTAATGTTTTTCAAATTATGATTTTTTTTTCCTTTTCTCTTTTGAGGAGCATTCACTCCGTTTATTATTCCACCTTAAGCATGTGTAATCCATAATCCATAAAAAAAGTTAGGAAAATCAATAGCCATAGTAGTGCCTCGCTCGGTATCTTCCATGTGAAGCCTGTTCTAAGCTGAAATTTAATTCACTTTGGGCTTGCTGACCTGAAGACCTGACTGAGATCTTTCACCCACTCCTGGGCCAGCCTGACAACGACAGCAACAACAAAAAAAAGGCTGCAAAATTGTCTTTTATTTGTTTGTTCATTTGCACATTATTCTTAGATGTGCTTAAGGCATTTTGGTGCCCTTATTTTTAAATCTCGGCTTAGTTTCCCGATTCCCCATCTCGGCTTCTCTCTGAATCCTGTTCAGGCGAAAGACCATTTCCTTCCTTCTGTTTCCTTATTTATACTTTTTTAGAAGTTGTTTGCAGTCCTTTCCTTTACGAGGACTACATGTTGAGGTCGTGGCTCCGTGGTGAAGGTGAAACCTTGCAGTCCTATTGTGTGTGTTTAATTTGTGGCATGTCATGGCCGAAACGGTTTTACGGGGCTTAAAAATCGGGGAACTAGCCCTGCATTCACCGCCATATTGGAGCCTGGAGTTTCTGTAAGTCATGATGGTCGAATATCGAGGCACCCGTGGGACCAGGTCTGATTTTATGACGTAAGTCACGATGGCTGCATATCCCATGTGATCAGATCTGATTTTGTGAGTTTCTGTGCAGGAGTTTTCAGTGAACATGGCAGTCATTAAGCAAACGCTACGATACTTAAGTGAATCCATGTACTGTATCCCAAAGGGTGGGGGTTTTTTGGTTTTTTTTCTTTTTACAAAAACCTACAAAAAATGGAGGAAACTGGCAAAAGAACATTAATCCCGGTCATACGGCCATGCAGTGCTACAGCTGGCTGTGCAAGTGAGCTGATTGCCAAGTGCCCAAAATGCAATCATGTGATTGCAAGGACATGTCACAACTCTGGAACTGAGTCATAAGTAGTTGTTTTTTTGGGGGGGAGGGTGGGAGTTGTAACTTTGAATTGTCACTGACTGATCATAAGATGACTCCCTGTCGAAGGAGTCAGTGGACTTGCTCTGTATTCAGCAGGTTTGCGCCTTTGAATCACCTCCCTCTTTCCAGCTTAGTTTGGTTAATAACAGAATGAGGGACCTTGGAGGTCTTCTATTCCACCCCCTGCTCAAGCAGGAGGCCCTAAACCATTGCAGAGAAATAGCTGTCCGGTCTCTTCTGAAAAGCCTGCAGTGTTGGAGCCTCCCACAAGCTCTGGTGGCAAGTGGTTCTCCCTCTCGGGAAATTTCTCCTTAGTTCCAGGTTGCTTGATTAGTTTCCAGGCGTTGCTTCTCGTCCCGCCTTTCCTTTGGAGAATAGGTTGACACCCCCTCTTTCTTTGTGGCAGCTCCTCAAATACTTCAGCACAGCTTTCGCTCCCGTCCACCCGCCCCTTATCTTCTCCTGGCTTTCCTGATAGTCTGTCCAGCGAAACGGCTGGTGCCTAGAATTGCTTTTCTTTGCATATTTGTCAGCCAGAATTATATCCCAGTGACCTATCCGTCCCATCAAGGGGAGTGCAGATCAGCTAGACGGTAGCTAGGCTTTTTAAAAAATTAAACAAGGGTCTGCACTTTTTCCCCTTCTCCTCCCCCCCCCCTGCACCCCCGAAGGGCAGAAGCAATTAAACAACGGAGCCGCGTGTGTGTCGTGACCTCATGGGAATAAATCGTGGGTTTCAGACGGGGGGGGGGGGAATTTCACTCTGGAATGTGACACCGGGTCCTTTGCACTAATCATGATTAAAAAGGCTTGATTTATATTCCCCCTTGCAGTCAAGAGAAGATTTCTGATTTACTGGGAGGGGGAAGAGAGGAAGGAAAATGCTGGCCGTTGGATTTTGTGTTAAGAGGAATGGCATGCCCCCTCCCCCCTCCCCTTCCTCAATTCCCCACACAGCCTCTTGCACCAAAACGTTGTTTTCTGAGGATTGCAAAATTCCATCCTGTCTGTGCACAGGATACTTTGGTCATCGCTCAGGAAGGGAAAAGGAGAAGTGGCACAGTGGAAAAAGGTTGCCTTGAAGCCAGCTTGACGTTTACTCCTATTCCTCCCCCGCCCCAATAATTAAAAAAAAAATATTCTTGCTCTTCTGATGAAAGAAGCTTTTTAAAAAAATAAATTAAAAAGGTGTGAGCTATAAGGAGGACGCAGGTGGTGCTTGACTTGCAGCTATTCGTTTATTGACTGTTTGAAGTGAACAGTGGCCCTGAAAAAAGTGAGTTAACAACTGTTTTCCACTCTTATGACCGTTGCCACACCCCCATGGTCATGTGATTTACAATCGGACGCTTGACGGCTGGTTCACCTTTATGACGTGATCCTGGGGTCACGTGGTCCCCTTTTGCGACCTCAGTGAGGAAATTAGATTCCCTTAACAACTGTATTCCTAACTTAACAACTGAAGTGTTTCACTTAACTCCGGCAAGAAAGGCTGTAAAATAGAGCAAACTCACTTAACAACTATCTTGCTTAGCTCAATTGTAACTCGAGGACTACCTGTATGGTTTTTCCAGCGACCCCTCATTCTAAGCCTTGGGCCAGCCAGAAGCAAAAGGTTTTGGTTCTTCCTTCCCCAATTTGTTCTACAAAACCCTTGAGAAAAAGAAACATTCCAACACGGTGTGGGGGTTCCTAAAAGTTTACACATACTGCAAATTTTAAGTTGAATAAAAAAGAGGAAGTTAGAAATCAAAAAAAACCCCACCTGCTTTTCCAAATAGTTCCTTTTTTTCTTTTTGATTTGGTTTTATTTTCTTTCGTTTTTAACAGTTATAAATAATCAATAGCGATGCACTGGAGTTCTTAATGTTAGCCATTAAGCTCTAAGACAGAAACCTTTTTTATACTACAAAATAATTGAATGTATTTTGCCATCGTCTCTCGATACTTAGCTTTACAGTTCAAACAGTTTTAATAGCATTTTCAAAATTATCCTTTTAGCATTGATATAACCTTGTTTCTCCTTATCTTTAAAAGTTGACCCTATCCGAACCCACCATAGTATTAATAGTTTTTATTTTGCATTGCATAAATGCCACAACACCTCACTCTGGTGTTGGAAAGAAAAACAGAACAGGTGAAGTCACCTGGTTCTTTGTTCAACAAAGGGAAACTGTTCGTATGTCTCCAAACAAAGCACTATAAAAATATTCTGGCACTGGCAGGTTGGTTAAGGAGGGCGTTGAGAAGAATACAAACATTGAGTCATGTGCTTTTGTTGGGGGCAAGAGGCTGACTCTGTAAACTGTTTAGAGAGGGCTGTAAAGCACAGTGAAGCGGTATAGAAGTCTTAAGTGCTATTTCTATTTGTATTATTTCTATTTGTATTATTTCTTCTATACTATACTATACTATTCTGTTCTGTTCTGTTCTCTCCTGTCCTGTCCTGTCCTGTCCTGTCCTGTCCTAACCTAACCTAACCTAACCTAACCTAACCTATTATTATTCTATTCTAGTGTAGTAGTAGTTAGAATACAGTATTGCAGGCTAACTCTGCCCACTGCCAGCAGTTTGATCCTGACCGGCTGACTCAGCCTTCCAAGGTTGGTTAAATGGGGACCCAGATTGTTGGGGGCAAGAGGCTGACTCTAAACCCCTTAGAGAGGGCTGCAAAGCACCATGAAGTGGTATATAAATCTGGGTGCTATTGCTATTAAGATTAACAATTAAAAAGAAGGTTAAACTCAAGCATACAGGGATGAACTTGGCCTCTCACTCAGTCAGCCACCTCCAGCGTAGCCTGCCCTCATCGGGTCCCCAAGGCCTTCCTGGAAGGCCAGAAGGATGGTGGAGGCAGAGCTCAACTCCAATGACCCAATTTCCAGTGAGACCTAATAGCTGGTAATGCAGAAGCCAATGTTTTGGTTCTCCAGATTAGAATTCTTTTATTGGCCAAGTGTGATTGGACACACAAGGAATTTGTCTGGGTGCAAATGTTCTCAGGGTCCATAAAAGAAAGGATACATTCGTCAGGAGTCAAGAATCATCAGGTACAACACTTAATGATAGTCATAGAGTACAATAAGCAATCAAATCCAGGAAACAGTCAGTGTGAGGGACAACTGAGAAACCCAGGTGTCCATTTCGTCCTCCAGTTGCTGCTTCCCCAGGTCAAGAAGCTCCCAAGCCAACCCCTTGACCAGCCTGTCCTCTTTCCCACAGAAAAGAACGGCCTGTCATTCATCGAAACCTCCGCTTTGGACTCTACAAACGTGGAAGCTGCTTTCCAGACCATCCTGACTGGTGAGTGGGGCCTTTAGAGGCCACCTAGAGTTCTCCTTGTCCCTGAAGTTCTTTAAAAAGTATCTGGCTGACTTTGGCCTTCAGAGGTGGGTAGCACTTGGGTTGAAAGACCGGCGGTAAGATTGAATCCTGAAGTAGGAATGCTTTGGAAGAAATTCTGCTTTCCTCTTGCAACTCTCTATCACTTATTGTTCTCCAATATACAGTAGTTCCCTCTGAAAGAAGGAATGAGATTGTGACAAGACCAAAGTGTCCAGATAACGGGCGATATTTTATGTTGTAAAACGTATTTTTTTCCCCCCATGTTGGAAGCACCAAAGTGCTTCTGTGGCAAAAGATATTTGCCGGTGGCATCACTGTTGCCCAGGGGGATCCTTTTATGGCCCCAGGAAGTTTCCCACTGAAGGGGTACCCATTAATCTACTTGGGGTCACCCACTTTCCAACTGCTGGGCTGGCAGGAGCTGGCGCGTGTGACGGGAGCTCACCCCGTCCTGCAACAGTAACAGGACTCGAACGGGAGCCTGCTGATCGTCAGCCCAGCATTCTGACCTCGTGAGCACCGTGCTCCTCCATAAAAACAATAGAAGATTACGAACTTGAAGAAAGAAACGGGTAAACCAGGTTAGCTGCCATCCCATCGTTCCTTCTCAAAGCGTTCCATCTGCCACCTAGCAAAACGTCGGTGCATCATGGGCGGTACATTTGCACTTGCAAATCAGCAAACAAAAAAGGAATTCATCTGGATGACCAGAATAGTTTACAAAAAGGGGGCACAATGCATGTATCACGTATATTCTCTTACAATCTATGTACAGAAAGCCGGTTTTCCCATCCGAAGGCTCCAATTTTTAAAAATTGCCATTGCTATATCCTGGTTGTCCACATGAGCGGTGAGGCGAAAAGTCCGTCTGTTCCATCAGGTGCACCCAAAAAAGCAAACAAACCACAGGGAGACTAGATTTCCCTCCTGACATGTTTGTAGTTTGACGAAGTTTTGAGAATTCTGCAATGCTGAATTTGTGTCCCAGGAAAAATGGGTGTGGAAGTGATGGCTAAAGTCCTTTCGGTGCACAGCTGGGTTATGGCTGAAGGCTTCATTTTTGCCCTTCCCACGTGCAGCGTGGTAAAACCAACTTCCCTTTCTTTTGAAATTCTTGGGAACCGTTGGGGCATTTTCGTTTTTGAGCAGTTAATGCCGCCGGTAAATGATCTGCAGAAAAGGCACGAAAGAATTTGCTGACAGCAGCATTTCAAGAGCATATCTCAGTCTGTGTTTTTAAGATACCAAGATATTGCCCTCCTCTAGGAAAAGAGGGTAGAAAAAAGGAAAAACAGAAAAGAGGTGTGCAAAAGAAAAGGCTCAGTTTTGCAAGTTTTAAATCTTAACGACACATCCCACCCCGAGTTGAATATTTTGTTGGTAAACTTCTCCTCTTCCTTCATTTCCCCAGCTGTCTCGTGGCCTTGGTGTGCTCCAAGAACCCGGGCACATCTGGATGCACCTCTGTCTTTTTTTTCCCTTCCCTCAAAAGCAGAGCAAGACTGTATTTCTTCCTACGACTGCCCAGTTTTGAAAGCATGGTTAACCTTTGCCTCTAGAATGTCAGGCTGGTTGAAGACATGCCGTTCACCAGTCCACGCCCGTTCCGATAAATGGTTAAATCAATATTTTTTTTGTAAGTCCCCCAAAATAACTGAGAGTGAGTGGGTGGCCATATAAATTCTCTTAAGTAAAAAAAAAAACAATAAATAACGAAACAACTGTTTTGGGTGGGAGATGGGGCCAAATTGAGACGTGCAGGGAGAAATTCTGAACACCAGTGGAAGGCAGTGGGGCGGGGAAACAGGGACAGGAGGCTTCCCTGTGACCCTGGGTGCAATTCTTTGGAGACAGGGGCATGGGTGGGCTTCAAACATTTTAGCCATGGGTTCTCTGCCCGGTTGCTGGGTGGACGTGGCCTAGCCGCCCTCCTGCACCACAGCGGGGAGGAGTTTGGCCTCCCCAGGCTCTGGAGGCTTTCCTTGAGCCTCCAGGAGAGTGAAGATGTCCCTCCCCCCAGACTCCGGAGGCTCTCTAGAAGCCGGAAGCAGGCCCATTTCCTCCCTTCCCTATCAGAGCATTTGACAGCGTGACTTTTATGAGACAAGCTAGGAGCAAAACACAGCACACAGAGACGTACACCATTAACAGTGGTTTATGTGCTACAGTTATATACAGACGTGATAGGCAAAATACCTTTAGAACAGGGGTCTCCAACCTTGGCCACTTTAAGTCTTGTGGACTCCAACTCCCAGAATTCCTCAGCTAGCAAAGCAGCTGAGGGAATCCTGGGAGTTGGAGGTCCACAAGTCTTAAAAGTTGCTAAGGTTGGAGACCCCAGCTTTCTTCTTCTTGACACCCGGAGAACTTCTGCACTGAATACTGGTCACAAGGAAAGAGAACCAGGCCCTCTAATGGCTGCCTTTTATACACACACACCTCTTAAGGGGATCTTTCATCTCCAGTCTTAAAGGGGAAATACTCGTGCTGTGCTGAATCACTCTTGTTTCATCAGCCTACATCTGGCAGCTATTCACCGCTGGCCAGTTCTTAAATCGTAATACCTTAACACCCCAAAACTTCCGGGAGGCCCGTTTTGCACCCTCCCCGAGCCTCTGTGAGCGCCCTGCAGTTACCTGCATCCAAAACGGGCCACCTGGGGACTCCTGGGAGGGGAGGGGCAGGGTGGGCGTGGCCAGGCAGGCGTGGGATTTGGGGCTTCTCCAAACTGCGCAGAATCTTAGCTGGGGGCTCTCCTGAACCCCTGGACAGCGGGATTGTCCAGCCTTGGCCGTGCAGAGAAGGGAGAGCAGGCAGGGGGGGCAGCCCAGACTCACCCTACTTGTCCCGTCACATCGCTCTGGGATTCCCTCCAGATATTGGCAAGTGGAAGGTCAGAAATATTCTGGATTGTGTTTCTGCTGAACTGTGTGGCCCACCTGAAGCATTTGGGAAGAAGACAGGCTGCCCTCGACTTAACAAGCCATAGTGGACCCCAAAATTTCTCCTGCTAGATAAGATAATCATGAAGTGAATTTTCGCCCGCTTGACGACTTTCCTTGCCACATTTCTTAAATGAGTCACCGCAGCGGTTAAGTTGTTTTAACAACGGGTGTTAAGTGAATCTGGCTTTCCCATGGACTCTGCTTGTCAGGAGGCCCCCAATCTCATGACCTGCAAGACAGTGGAACCGTCATAAATACGAGTCACTTGCCAAGCGTCTCAACGGTCCTGAGTCACTTTTCCCAGTGCCGTCGTAACTTTGAATGGTCACGAAGGGAACTGTTTGAAAGTCGAGGGCCACCTGTATCTGGCATGTGCGGTTTGAAACACAGAGTGTGTCTTCTGAATTGAGGATAAGCGTTTCCCTTTCTTCTGGTTGAGAAAGTTTAGTTTAGTTTATTGTCACTGCACATCATAGAACAAAATTAAATACTAAATACAGTAGAATTCAGCAGAGCTGCTGCCCTGGGATAGAAGCTGTTTTTCAGCCTATTTGTCCTTGTTTTTATTCTCCTATACCATCTGCCAGATGGTAACAGTTCAGAAAAAGGGTTCCCAGGATGAGATGGATCTTTGAGGATGTTTTGAACTTTTAAGGCAGTGGGAGCTCTAAAGCTCTTCCAAAGAGGGGAGAGGGCAACCCATGATCCTCTGGGCAATGACATTCACCCTCTGGAGTGCTTTCCTATCTGCCCCTGTGCAATTGGCAAACCATACAGAGGTGCAATAAGTTAAAATTCTCTCTATAGTGCAGCGGTAGAAGGTCACCAGCAGTTTTCCATCCGGTTGTTGTTTCCTGAGAGGCCTCAGGTAGTAGAATCTCTGCTGGGCCCTTTTGACCAGGGCTGCAATGGGAGCCCCCCCCCCAGGTCAGGTCCTCTTTTAGGGTAACACCCAAAGAAGCCCTGCAAAAGAAGGCTTGTGTCCTGTTGGAGCCTCATTTGCCTCCCCCACTGCCCCACTTAAAGGAAAACAACAGGATTGATTTATTTCAGGAGGGTGTGTCCTGAAAATCCAGAGGCCAGATATCCTAATTAACCACCCGGGGATTATAGCAAGTCTCAAAGGTAGCATTTGCAATACTACGTGTCCAAAGAAGTAGGATAAACAGCAGCTTAGAGGAGAGAAGAATGTGATCCTCTGGAATTTGGAAGTGGTGCTTGGAGTGGCTTTAAGTTCAGGTGAAAACCAGTCATCCCAGGACAGGTTTTAATCCACATAAAGCTGGGAGAACTCTCTGGCAGGGGATTGGGTCAATAGAAGGAAGGACTCCTCAAGGAAAGGCTTAGACCTTCCAAGAAATTGACTCGGTACGGAGCAGCTTTTGCAACCCAAGATGTGTGCCGTTTACAGCTCCTAAAATTCCAGGCATACCAATCCCATGAGCTGATCTGAGATCTCCAGGCTGGCCCATGGCTAGCCTGAGAGTGGGCAGGATGTGGAACCCGTGTGCCCAGGCCCCACAGAAATCCTGGGAGTCCCTCCTGCAAAGTATCTGCAGAGGTTACCATCAGATTGTAATCGCCAAGGGGATAGAAGATTGCCAGAATAGTCAAGAGGATGGGATTTTTTAAAAAAATAATTATACGTATGAAATCATTTCTCTCCTCCATGGTACGGGTGCAACAGTTCACTTTAGGGACTCTTTGAAGTTACAACGGCACTGAAAAAAGTGACTTATGACCCGTTTCCATATCTTGTTCTCGGGCCTACTGCTTCAATGGCAGTTGGTTGGACCGTTTATTGTTACCTTGTTTGGCAGTTTTTGATTGGGGTATTGTTTGCTTCTTGACTGATGGTCTGATCTTAATCTTGACTTTAAAATAGAATTAGGCCATCTGGTTCTATTTTTGTCCGGAGCACTTCCCTAGGTTGACTTAGGCCAGAGGTCCCCAAACTTGACAACCTGAAGACTTGTGGACTTCAACTCCCAGAATTCTTCAAGTTGCCAAGTTTGGAGACTTCTGACTTAGGCGGTGGAGACCTCCAAGTTGGGAAGAGTCATTTCATGTTGGTTGTTCCGGTTTGGATATAGGAACCTTTATGGGCCAAAGTGTCTCCCATCTCGGCCCTAGATGTCAGTAACAGGCTGACTTTGCCAACTTTCTAAGGGCGTATTTCTGATTCCAGCTGGCGGAACACAATATTCTTCACCATTTATTTCATTGTCCGTTGGAATAGATGCCCAGGCTCAATCTTGTTAACGACCTAAATGATGACTGAATAGGCCTACCCTTAAAACCTAGCCCACGGATTGTTCAGTTTGATCCGGCAGTTCACGAGGGATGGCGTCGGCCCATCTAAACAGCGCCAAGTTGGGGAAAGCAGCCTCAAGCTAACAACCACGGGGAAAATGTCAGAAGAATGTGAATTGCTTGGTCTATCGATTGGTTGCTTTTTCTTTGAGTTTATCGGTGTGCCTTACAAGAACCTGCTCACAAATTAGCCAGCTAGTGGAAATAAGATGTGCAAGAGGGAGAGTGACCTGACATTCTTTTTAAAAATTAAAGTATCAGATGCTCCCGATGACCTCAACTTCTCCAAATGAGAACAAGTATCCACGTAGTCCTCGACTTAAGGACTGCAATTGGGACCAGAATTTCCATCGCAAAGCAACGTTAAGGGACTTGCGCCCAATTTGATTACCTTTTTTTTGCCACCATTGTTAAGCAAATCACTGCAGCGAATGGTTTGGTTGTTAAGTGAATCACGAGGTCATTAAGCAAATTGGGGTTCTGCCGTTGACTTTGCTTGCCAGAAGCCAGCTTGGAAGGCGGCAGGTAGTGATTATGAAGAGTGTCAGGGCTCCAGCATCCACCCCCATTCGAATCATGAGTCTAGCCGCATCTCTCAGAGTTTAAAAAAATGATTTATTAGGAGTGAACATGCTGGTGCTACCTGGGTGTAGCCGACTCTGAGACACATCATTCATTTCCCCCCTTTACCCTGGTTTTCCTCCCGCCCCCTGGATGTATATTCTCCAATGGGACACCTCCATAGCCAAGAGTCACCAATCATGCTCTCCAGTAATAATCTTGCGATCCAGATTATCTATGAAAGCATTTAAGGAATGCACTATTTCTCCCATTCCCTTTCTGCTGGCAACTCTAAAAGACCAGAGGAATATTTTTGAGTTGACAGAGAGATTGCAGGGGCCATAAATGAATGCCAGTTTCCAAGGGACCGAATTTTAATGATGTGATTGTTGGGGATTATAAGTGTAAGGGCCGGTTGTAAGTCAGTTATTTTCAGTGCCATAGTAACTTTGAATGATCACTAAACAAACGGTTGTGAATTGAAAAGTACCTGTGCATAGCAAGAGAAGACCTGCAGTTAAATGGAGTAGATGTTCACAAGCTAACCCTTCCTGTAAGGGGTCTAGGATAGGGGTCTCCAACCTTGGCAACTTTTAAGATTTGTGGACTTCAACTCCCAGAGTTCCTCAGCCAGTCCGCAAGTCTTAAAATTGCCAAGGTTGGAGGCCCCTGGTCTAGGACAACCCGCCACAAACAATTCACCATAGCTATGGCCAACTCACTGCAGAACAACTCGCTGCAGGCCAAGAGTTAAACTGATATCAAAGAAATAGTCAACTAGAATCATTAAAGAAAGGATGCCAACGGAGGGACAGAATAAAATATGGACGGCAGAAAATTAAAATTATTTCAGATAATTAACTTGGGATTGTTGAATTGTCTCGTAGCGAGTTGTCCCAGTCCCCCCGTAAGTGGGGCTCTATGGTTGGCGCATGTATGGAGGAGGGTGAATTCTGGAATGGAGGCCTCAGCCCCCTCTCCCCCCTTTTCCTCCTTGGTCACCCGCAGCTTCTCTCTTTCAGAGATTTATCGCATTGTGTCGCAGAAACAGATGTCAGACAGACGCGAGAATGACATGTCTCCAAGCAACAACGTGGTCCCCATCCATGTTCCTCCAACCACGGAAAACAAACCAAAGATGCAGTGTTGTCAAAATATATAAGAAGTTCAACTCCTGGAAAACGGTGTATATTCCCCCGGATCTGAATGGAAGTAGAGTTTTGAGCTGACATTACTTTTACTTTCTCTCTCTCGTTCTCTACTCTCTCTCTTCCCCCTTTTTTTCCCCCTCTCCATCACATTTTGCCTTTATTTTATTCTCCTCTCTCCGTTTCCTCGTTTTGTCACCATTTTCTCCTTGTCTTCCACCTCAGTTCTGTGACTCATCTCTTTTCACACGAGGCTGCAGCATCGTTTGAAATGCTCGCGTCCTGCAAGGCAAACCTGGTTAACCGATCAAAGCGGATCACCTGCCTGGCTCACCTGGGGAAGGAGCAGAGGTGGCTTCTGTCAAAGCGTCCCCAATTCAGACACTCCCATCAACACAGTGGCACAATTTGGTAGCTCCCTTGTCCACTATGGCCTCAGGGCTTAGATACCATCCCTTTCTTTCTCTCTCTGTCTCCCTCTCTCTCTTGGCCTTCCAACGTCCCCAGGGCCCTGCAGACTACAGCTCCCATCATCCCTTCTAGCCCCACCGTTGGCCCGAGATAATGGGAGGTGTAGAAAAAGGGCTCTGGAGAAAGCTAGGTTGAGAGAGCCATTCGTTCATCCGGATGGCCTGGGCCCTCGGGTCCAAAAATGCAAATGGTTCGTTGGGTTGACTTTCTGCCTGACCAGAACTGTGATCCCGTTTGGAAGACCCAAGTCGGGGAGGATGACCTCCGGGAACAGCTGGGCCTAATGGATTAAGCATCCCTGAGCAGGGCCCGTGGTCTCACTTTTGGAATTGGCTTTGCTGAGGCCACCACACACGCGTAGCCTTTCGAGGGGTTTTTATTCACGGTTGAGCAGACGGATGACGTCTTCCCCTTGCCAGCAAGGAGAGGAGGATCAATCCTCTGGCTGACAAGGCCGCTGTGCGAATTAAATCATTGCAGCCCACCTGGCTCGGGCCCAACGTCGGTTGCTGGAGGTTGGATGATGCCACATAGTTACCCTAAGAGGGACGTGCCACCTCGCTTCGCTTGCTAGTCCCCCCGTGGCTCGTTGTCTGTGGCATTTAGTGTGTCGCACCATCTAGCATGGGCCCTGGGGTGGGGGGAATCATTTTGCATGTTGCACATGTACAGGTGATGGAGAAGGCTTGGAGGTTGGGCGTCGCAGCTCCCAAGAAACTCTGACTTTTTCGTGAGAATTGTCGGCAAAACTGGCACTGATGCATCCTCCCCCCCCACCCATTGCCCGCCCAAGATTTGGCTCAAACTGGTTTAGTTTCTCGTGGGGGGTGGGTGGGCAGTTCCTGGCCTGGAAGCCCTCGAAACTCTTTCAGTTGCACACTAAAAGCCCAAGTGATTGAGCCCTTCTGGGTTTCCAGAGGACATTCCTTCGCATCTCATTCCCCCAGGCAGCCTTACGGTTTGCAGCCAACACTGCCTGTCCGTCTGCAGCACTGTTCAAAAGAGGGCTTAGGGTGTGCACACACCAGCAGGCACAGAATTGTGCAGTCTTTGGGAAGCCCAGCTGAAGAGGAAAGAGTCCCTGGTTTATAGGGAGAAGGGAAGGAAGGAAGGAAGGAAGGAAGGAAGGAAGGAAGGAAGGAAGGA